GGGGGGGGGGTGTGGGTTTGAGGAGGAGGGAAATAGTGGGAATTTGTGTTGAAGGCATGAGTGTTGAGAGATATGCATGCAGAGAGTGAGAAGGAGAGGACGGGGAAACAACTGGGCAATAGGGGTGGGGGGAGTAAAAGGTACGGGGTGGGCGATCTGAGGAGGTGGGAGAAAGGGAAATTGGGTGGGGTGTTGAGGTGCTGGCAGTAAAGACAGGAGAGATGGGGAGAGTGGGGATGGATGTCACCAGTAGAGATTATGTATAGAAAGAGGCCACCATCTCCTAGCAACACATTTTGTTGTCAGTACCCGGTATTGAATATAAATTAAAAAACTAAATTGTGCAGAAAAAAAAATCACTGTATAAAATAATCTCCCAATGTCTTCCTCCTCTGGGCTACCTCAATGGGGAATTCTATGTAGCCTCACACCAAATGCTAACTGGAAATGAAATTATCTGCTCCAGTATGAATTAGTAATGCCACAAGTTTTTTTAAAATGTAAAATGTGCAACCTAAATACAGTTTTTGATTTGAAATTTGAATTTAGCTTGATCTAGGAACCTAGAGTGTGAATCAGGATCGAGTGATCTATTGGAAGGTTGCAAATGTAGATATGTTATATTTATGTTATATATGTTGTTAAAAGTGTGAATCCAGCTAGAAATAATATTAAAAAACCACGAGTTGGGGATCGGGGCTCTCACATGTCCTATATGTATCTAAACTATGTTGACAGACGTGTCCATGATGTATTGGTCGAGAAGCAGATGCACTTGGAAATTATATATTTTTCTCAAGCAATATTATTACAATGAGAGTAGGTTTTATTAACTGAAATCTTTAAGTTATTGAATTTGAGTGATTTATTTAATTGCGAGAAGATGTTACCTGTGGCTACCTGGGCAATATTGGTAAGCATGTTGCGTTACAATCTGTTTATTTAATAGCTAAACATGGGCAAATTAAACAGCTGGGTTCGAAGCTAAAGATGGCTTCCCAGCAAATTTTCTTGTTTCAGCCTTGAGGGTGAGGCGGTATGACCATGACATTTGGTGGCATTAGGGTGAGGCGGTGTGATCATGACATTTGGTGGCATTAGGGTGAGGTGGTATGACCATGACATTTGATGGCATTAGGGTGAGGTGGTATGACCATGACATTTGGTGGCATTAGGGTGAGGTGTATGACCATGACATTTGATGGCATTAGGGTGAGGTGGTGTGACCATGACATTTGGTGGCATTAGGGTGAGGTGGTATGACCATGACATTTGATGGCATTAGGGTGAGGTGGTATGACCATGACATTAGGTGGCATTAGGGTGAGGTGGTATGACCATCCAGACCTGTTTTCTCTTACGATTTTGGCTTGGCGTACAATGTACGATATTTAGATGTCTTTTACGATTGTACGCCGAAACCCGCCAAAACGACGATTTTCAGAGAGCCGGTGGAAAGTATTTGGGTAAAATTCTGATTTTAAAAAAAATTAAATAATTTTGAGTTTGAGCCCTTTCTATTAAAGATCTGGCAGCGAATGGACCGAGACAAACGATTGGTTGTAATTTTTTTTTTGGTTAAAGTTGGAACCATCCTTCGTTATATTATGTAGGCACTGAGAGGGGAGGTGGGGGTTTTTGAATAAGGAGAACGCTTGGGTTAGGGGATTTGTGGGAATGTCAAACTATTGAGCTAGCTGCGTCAACTGTACTATTTAGACTAGTCGCCCTAGCGACAACTTCAACCCCCCCCCTCCCCAGCTTCACCCCCCCCAACTTCACCCCCCCCC